ACGAAAAAATCTCGCAAGGAGTACTTGCACTACAGTGAAGAATTTGGTGTGCCAGAAACGACGTTTTACAGACAGCAAAAAATGCGCAAGGTCTGCAAGAGAGCTTTGACGAAGCAGCGTCGTCCGTGTGCGCGGAGAACACGCCTTCCTCCAGCGCAAGCCAGCGCTCTAGCGCCCATGTGCTGCGTGAACCCTCGCCTGCTCTTGATGAAGCACAGTCGTCTACGTGCGCGCATGATGCACCGTGTTCCAGCACTAGCCAGTGCTCAAGCGACCATGTGACACGTGAACCGTCACCTACCCTCGAGGAAGCGCAGTTCTCGGATGAAGCAGGAGATCCGGACTCCTCAGCGTCTGACGACGGCAGATCACCACCGCACTCCAGCGAAGACGAAATACTGGCAACAGCATTTGGCAAATCAAGCTCGGAAAAGCATCGTAACCTCAGTTATGGTGGCTAGAAGGAGAGGTGTCAGCATCGTCCTGGCCGCGCCTTGAAGAGAGGCGTGCTGGTATTTCAGTTCGCCGCGGAGCGGTGCGCAAGTCGCCACCGTGATCGGTCAAGAGCGCTCGCCAGCCACTCGCGCGGCACTTTTGGTCGCTTGCTCGTTGCGCTCGCAAATTGCAGCGTCTGCGCTTCGCCTATTTGAACTTGTTCTTGATTAATACATGTCAATTCGATCATGCCACAGTGATGGGAAAACAGTAAAGACACTGCTTTGCACCTGAGTGCAATGCGTGATTTGTTTCGGCCCGCAAGCAAGGCTAAGTGTCTCTCTTCTCTGCTCCCACCAACGATGAACAGTGCAAGGCCTGGGAGCGTGCGATTCCTCGCGCTGCGAAACCACCGGAAAATAAGTAGGTTGTGTGCGAAGCTAATTTTGACGAACGAATACTTGTCCGTAGCTACATGCATGTTATCAACGGGTTCTTAGCAACTTGGGAAATAGCTGTACCTAAGAAGGGTGGGTTCCTGACTGATTCAATTGCCAAATGACTCCGCGTCACTCTAACCAGCATCCTTTCTATCCCGCATTATGTCACGAAAACCTTGGGCTATATATACTTGATGACGTCTCGCCTCTGCCAAGGCCCGCCTAAAATCTTTTTTTTTCGAATTCTGAAGCAAATGTCTGGCTCGACTGATCACCCGTCGCCGACTCAATTTTTGATCTCTGTGAATAGCCTCAGTTTTCACAGCTTGGCACAGTCACCCTCCAGTAGAAACATACCTTCTGGATTCCTAGCAGCCCTACATGTCTGCGCATCAACACTAATGCAATAAAATTGCAGATTAAGCTGGGTGAGCTTCTAGAGGTGGGGCAACTCAATGAGGTTCAAGAAATGATTGTTACTTGTGAAGCCCTCCCTGACCACATTGACCTCATCGGACGCAAAAGTGACTCCCGGATCTTTTATTACGTCAGTGACTATGTGGCCCGGAAGATGGTGAAAAAGACAAAGTGCAAAGAATGTAGCAGGTTGTTGCTTGACTCTGAGAATTCCTGCTTGCTTTCAGCATAATCATGACTTTTGTACCTGTCCTAGTCTTTAGCAAACCTCGTCAAACCTATGGAAGATGCATTCACATATTGCTGCAGTTTTAACAAGTTTAAAAGTGACAGCATAACATACCTTATCTCTTGCCTGTCTGTGAAGAGGTTAAAAATGGTCGGCTCAGAACACAAACTAGAAGTGACAAATCAGATAGTTAGATTCTTACAATGACAAGAATGCATTTTCTCGTTGCTGTAGAAAATGCATCCAATAAAAAAGAGAAAAAATGAATCTCTTGAAGTTCAGCCATATGACCTAACTGTCATATTGGTAACTCAGAGAACAAGGTTTCATTTCATGGTATTGTGCATTACTCACACTGTGTTGTTTCATATGATTTTACTATTGTCTTGTACACATTGTTACAAATCTCAAATTAACAACTCTGATGTCACTGTCCTGCTGTATTTCACATATGCAGAAATCAATTTTTTCGTGAACTGGTTTGTGACTGTACCATTGTTTGCCAATCAAATCTCAATGCATTGTGTGTATATATGCTCATTGTATCATCGTATACTTACTGCTCTTTTAGTTACCTTATTCACTTGCTTTAGCTGAGTTCCGTATAATTTGCAGTTCTCTCCAACCTTAATGCACATGTTGTGTTTATTTTTCGTGTTGTTTTTTGCTTTCGAGAAAATAAATGTCTTGCTTTTAAAATTGGACCTTGATTGTACAAGTCATAAAAATAACGGTCGCCGATACCTTTACGTGCATTGAGACTTAGCAAAGAACACCGCGGCATCAAAGCGAAAACTGCACGGACTTTTTTTTAGTGTCAAGTTCGCGACAAGTCACTTGATTCTCTATCTTCTAAGCTTTATAGCTCATAAACTAGGAAATGAATTCAAAACGCTAGTTTTCAGTGCCAATACACGCTTTACAGCGCGCCACCAGAATTGTGACAGGTAGACTTTTTTATAATCCGCAGAATAACGTAAATTATTTGCAACAAATTACGACTAATACGCGAGCGCGGGCGCGAGGAGGGGCATCGCGAAAGCGACCGCAGCGCCGCCGCATCTGGATGAATTCTCGCTCGCTCTCCGGCGCGCCGATGCTGACACCTCTCCTTCTAGCCACCATACCTCGGCACATCAAAAGCAGGGGCTGCTGCCATGGCCATGTCGTTTGCAATCTCGCATAACTTGACATGGACAGCATTGGGCGACCTGGCTAAGCTTGTAAATAACATAGCTGGTGTTAACATATTGCCAAAAAGCAAGTGTACTTTTAGGAAACTGTGGGCAACATATAAAAATGAATTAGCTACATACTGCTACACTTGTCATAAGTGTCAGGCCATGTTGACTGTGGACGGTGGTGATGCTATGTGCACTGTCTGCCACACTGATAAAAGTGTCTCCAAAGTACACGAAGGGGGTCATTTTTTGTCATGCTCAATACAAGAAGCCAGCTTAAACATCTCAGTGACCAGGCAAGAAAAAGCCTGGAAGAAGGGTTGTCGAAAAGAAGTGAGTGACACCAAAATGCATTGGCAGATATTACAAGTGCTGCCTGTTTTGATGAACTCTGTTTAGACGAAAACGTGAGCGATGACGACTTGACTTTGACACTAGGTATGGACGGCAGTCTAGTATTCAAATCATCCAAGACTCTCCAAGTGTTAGTGAATGAACTTCTACCTGCCACACGGATGCAAAATCCCATTTTAATGGGACTTTAGTTTGGGAATTCTCACCTAAATATGCAGCTCTTCCTGAGTAGGTATTTTGTCCACTTGAATAAAATCGAACCACTTATTTGGAAGACACAATCAAAGGTGCATCATTCACGAGTATTTGTGCTGTGCTGTGCTGTGGATGGACCGGCACGTGCTGCCGTTCTGAATATGGTGCAATTCAACGGCTTGCATGGCTGCCCACGGTAGCTTACAGTGGCAACACACAAAGATGGTAAGATATGCATGTACTTTATTCATTACTTTGATAAATGTTGCAGTAGTATGGCTATTGTGTTTCGGAGGCGTCTAGAATTGAAAATTTTCTATAGCAACGAAGTAGATGCTTATTGTCAAATCGGATACGCTAGATCAATAACGTGTGGCCTGCATAAAGACCTACAAAGCAGTGGCAACTATAAATACAATATTAGCATACATTATGTGTAATGCAAACTTTGTGTCATAAAGTACACTTATGTAGCCTAGGTTAGACTATACTTTATGAACATATTTCAGTCATTTTATTAATCAGGTTCCTCACACACAGGCTGCTTATGTCGAAATCTGAATATCCAATCAATGTGCAAGCTGCCATGGTGAAAACATTACTTCATAAACTAACTGTGTGCTGATCAAAAAGAACACATACAACTACAAAAAAAAACATCAGTAGAAGTGATTAATGACCTGACGAACAAGACTGTGAGTAGCACCCGAATTTTGGGCTAAGGATGAGCCATTTATTGTTGGCTACTGCCTGCTAATCTTGTTACACTCGGAAGCATGCAGCCAGATTCTGGAGTTTTTTTGCTTCAGTATTTGGCACTTGCAATAATCTGACTCGTTCGGCTCCTGATGTCAGTCTGGATCATGGACTCATTGGTTCAGCATTGTGTGCAGCCGTACTTAGGACGAAATGCCACAGACTTCTAAAGGTTAGAAAACCTATGGAAAAGACATTGATCTGGCTTATTAGGCATGCATATTTTCATTGTGAGAACCACACTGCATAAAGAATTCCCCTGAGCAGCAGCATTCTCAGCATCTGGCAATCTTTCACGCTGTGCACAAGTGGTTGTTCACACAAGTGTATACAAGCATGAAAATAAGAATGGACATTCTGTGAGCATGTTACTTTGGTTGTGCTGACTTTGTGCATATCATGCAATGAGGATAAAAATTCATGCGTAGTGACGGTCACCCTGGTGTTAACACATTATATTGCAAGTTAATGCGAGAGATTCTCCTTTGGCATTCTCATTTTTGTAGTAAATACATTTTTAGGCCAGTATAGTTTGTCAGTAGGAATGCCACTAAAAGGGTAAAGTTCATTTGTCTGTCGTGGTAAAGAAATTTTGATTTTCTGCATTGTGTTGTGAACAGCTCTGCCAGAAAAGAATTCTGGCCACTGCCAAGAGTCCTTGTAAGAGAGATGTAATTTTTGTTTTCATAGAGCTACATTTGTGCAGATAAGTTTTAAAAGGCTGCGGCTTCATGCAGTAAATAAAGGCAAGCTGCATTATGTAGCAATTCTTGAAAGCTGCACTGATGCTTTTTGAAGTACTATAGATATGTAAAGGGCAAGTGTAATGGCAACATTCAGAAACGTTTACACTTCCATACAGGTGGCGAAATGAAGGCAACCTGATTTTATAAACAGGAATAGTTCTGAATGCTTTGGTTATCACCAAATATATTTGCTAAGGCAGTGGCTTTGCGAATGTGAAAGAAGGTCTCCCTTTTTTTTCATTTTTAGGTGGCATGCGCTACATTGGTCCACGAGCAGAGGCAAGAACACATAGCCAAGTTGTAAGAGATATGCACATTGCACAGACTTCCCAAAGTACAGTGAATGGCATAAAGGGGCCATCCGTTTTGATGATACTTAACGGTAAGTGCAGACGAACATATTGGTACAGAGTAACAAACTTTTTTGTTGCACTTTGCAAGAAAGTGCCTAAGTAGGTAATATCAGTTGTCGTAGCAGAAGCCATAGGAAAAGCACTAAGATGTAAGGGTTGTTGATATTATCACACGGTACTGTGATATAAAGTCCAGTTTATTTTCTTTTTGGGTTGCACTCAAATCAAACTTTCCACTGAGGGTAATTATTAAGACATATCTGTTATTACAGAGGAGCCTTGTAGAACACACATATCAGTTTTATATTCAATATTACTTGAGGAACATTGATTTAGGAATTAAAATAAACCCATGGGATGTTTTGTGTAGGTACTATTTTTTGAAGGTACATTTTTGAATAACTTTATGGTTATGCAGCACATATGTAGCTAATTTTCTTATGAGTCCCGTCAATCTCTTCACTAAAAGCCTGCATTCCAGTTTATTTTGCATTAAAAACAAGTTACAGAGTATGTTTTAGAAGCATTTGACAGGGTGAACCAGGTATTGCTTCTTCATAAGTTGAGTATTGTAAACACAGACTATAATATTAATTTGGCTAAAGTATTTCTGATATTACCTGTTCTGCCTCTAACTACTAATAATGCTGATCAATGTGCAGTTTCACTTGAACTTGGTGTCCTGCACGGATCATGGTCTATTAGGGTGTAACGTATGTCTGCACAAAACATGTAGGTCTACTAAGATATACCATACTAATACGATCGCATATATGCCTAGGGAAGTTGCTCAACCCAACACAATGTTCACAGTGCGTAAGGATATATTTTCAAACATGGCAGGGTAAGTGAACACAGATATAAGTAGAAATAACTCGCATTTTTAGTCTAGTATTTTTTGTCGGTATTGGCCCACCTTTCCTTCCCTGATGACCGTTTAGTTAGAATGTATAACAACCAGAATATGCGAGTTTACTTTGCGGATAATCTGTCCTAAAAAAAAAACTTTCCTTTACTAGATAACCTTCAAGCACAGCATGATACATATAGTAAAGTTTTTATCTTAGCATCGTCACTACTACAGATGGTATTATACACAATTTATATGTATCCCCATTTAGTAAATGCATCGTCAATATAGGACAATAACAATAGCTTCACCTCAAAGAAAAGCTGAGCTATTGGGATTGAATGCAGTGAAATAGCGCAAAAGCACACAAGGACACAGGCGTGAAAGGGCACACACAGCACTCCAGCATTACAAAGGGCTGCAACTACGGCAAAATACAACATCCCTTAAGGTACCCTCTAATATAAAGTATACAAATATGTAAGGTGGCGCGAAAGATAATATTCTGATAATTGAGGCTAGTTGGTTAATAATGCAGTATGTATTGCCCTACTACAAATAACACAAATGTATCCCCATGCAAAAGTTAGCTGAGCAAACAAACACACACGCTCTGTTTTTATATTGCTGCGACCATGTGGCTACGCGACAATATCTAGGATAGCGCAAGCTACAGTGATGTAGAACCAGTCAGATGTATGCAGTCAGGCAAACCAGCTTAAAGAGGCCCTGCAACACTTTTTGAGCATGGTCAGAAAACACTGCTGATCAGTAGTAGAAGCTGCTGACAACAAGCGAGCCAAATATAGCGCTACACGTGGCCTGGAATTTACAATAAATTATCAGTCAGCCAAAAGTTGCTTTTCTCTTGACAAATTACAGAAGACGCTCAAAAATCACTCAAAGCCCTTCTATGAGGCATTGGCTAATTTGAACATGGCACGCTCAATCGTTACAGAGATCACCGCGGGAGGCGCGACTTGTTCATCGCGTGCACACACCATCACAGAAAAATCTTCGCAATCGAAGAAAAAAAAATGGTCACAGTCACGAGGCGCGCAACATTTGTTTTTTACCCCTGTCAATCTATCTTGCTTAGCTTTCAGCGCTTTCGTCGGGATGAGAGGATAGTAAGCAATTTCAGCATACAATTCTCAGTAACTCCACCCCCACTCGACCGATTATAAAAAAAATTGCGGCATTGAATTCATGAGGCAATACGCTCTTCCTGTGAATTCCTTTTATGGTCACTTAAAGAAGTGTTTCAGGGCTTCTTCAAGGCCTGTGATGCACATCAGATGGCTTTTGGTGAGATCATCATTATCAGTAGTCTTTTATACTTAATGTGTATGTTTCATATAATCTTTACAGGTTTCAACTTTGACAAGGGGAGCAGTGCAGATTATATGCACTGCGTTCTGCTGGGAGTGAAAAGGCAGATCACCGATGTCTTGTTGAGCACTACTGTGTGCTCAGAAAGATTTTACATAGGTATGTACAGTTTAGATTGTCGTTTATCCCTCATAGACATGTGATTTTTAAGCAAAACATGAATCACAGCGAACAACCATAGAAGTCTCTTCTGTGAAGTAAAATTTTTAGTGGGGCAAGTTCAGTGGGTAATCCAACTGTTGCAAATTTATTAAAAGCTGTAATAAATATGTAATATAAAGAAGTTATATGATATAAAAAGAAAACAGGAAGAATTTTTAGTAGTACAAGACAAGCAAAAAAATGAGCAAGATAAGAGACAACTGAATATATTTTTTTATGCAAAGAGTAAGCTGAATAGTAAATCAACCTCTTTTAGTAGTAATTGCAAGGAATAATATGTGGCATGCAATAAATGAATGTAATGAGCAGCGTCCCCTACAGTAATATTTCTGATGGTTTTATTAATATATAAACTGCACATGTATAAACAATGCTGGCTGCCATCGCTATTATGCGTCACATACTTTTAAGGGAGTGCTGTTCTCGTGAAGGTATGCTATCACGTTTCATTTAATCGTTACAACAAATGCAATAACACGAGAGAACTGACATCATGCTCACCTCTATACAAATGACTGAAACTGGTGGTATCGTCAGGTGAAGCCTGAATATTGAATGCAAATGTTCCTGTCATTTAAAGAAACCAGACTGATTGAACTCTACATTATAATAAGAATGAATGTACAGTATATGAGGTAATCTTGTGGTTTACATCTACGGAAGTCAGGACACATGCTTTTTTTTTGTTTGAACACTTCCCATAAAAACACCTGTGTGATTTTATGTATGCAGGCAGTCCGTCTTCTGTGAGGGAAGTGAATAGCCGCCTGTTGAGTATTCAACCTGCGCACTGCATTACACGCTCGCCACGCCACATTGATGACAGGGCTCATTGGAAAGCTTCGGAATGGAAGCATTGGCTTCTGTTTTATGCCCTGCCATGCCTAGATGACCTAATCCCCAGGAATACTGGCGACACCTGGCAAAGCTGTGGGAGGCTGTGCACATTTTGCTCAGAAAAGAAATATCAGCCAGAGAGAACGACTATAAAGGTAAAGTACTGCGTAAATATGGGCATTCATATAACATCTTTGAAGAACTGTCTTTTCAGTAAGGATCTATGTCGATGCTTGCTATTGGGGTTTCAACGAACACTCCTTCAGAATAGGAGCTAACAACCACATGTGGCTGCAGTTTCAAAATTTTATGTGTATATGAAAAATTCGCAAGTCTGATTGCTACACTTTCTGATTTTCAGAGCACCTTCTGTCAAAATTTTCTGAAGATGCGAGTCACTTTATGGGGTGGCAGCAGCCACATTTAACGCAAACCAACTTCATCACCTGGCAGACAATGTTCGGCATTTGGGGCCACTGTGGGCACATTCGGCCTTTGCGTTTTAGTGTGGGAATGGGCGACTCGTCAAATCTGTCACGGCTGCTTGTGACTCGCCCCATCAAATTGTTGAGAGGGTAGTCATGACACAACATCTTGAACACTTCATCACCACTTCTGGCATCTCGGTAAATGACAGAGCAGTTTGTCAAGACTTTTTTGGACACCCACCTGGCAAGAATGCAGCTGAAGATGGCGGTGCAAGACTGCTTGGGCTAAATCAGCATGCTTCACTGAATGCTTCGGAAATGCGAGCACTGAGTGGCGCAGGGTTTAATAGCAGTGGTGTTAAGTGCTATGACAGGCCGATTTTCAAAAAGCAGGTGCACCGCAGCACACTCTACAAAAGGCCCCCTAAAAGCGACAGTACAATTGTGGAGACATCACAAGGCTTCTTCCGTAGAGAGAAGGTGGTCCGTGTGTTCTTGGAAGGAGGCCACGTTTGCTTGCTGCTGCGCCGAGAGGTGATTTTTTAGGACAATCATCGCTTTCCACAGCAAATCAAGCCGTGCTTTTTGTCAGCAAAGGTCCCATCAGAAGTTCTGAGACCAATGGACATCCTGAAAAGTTGTGTCTACATAGAACTGAACAACATACGAAACGCCTTTCTGTACCCCATGCCAAACATGACTGAAAGGGACTAAAAAATGCCCTGAAGCACCACAACTGTGATTTATTGACATAATTGAACAGTGTTGAGTTGTTGGTAGGGCTCAGTGTTTTCGGGTTTTAGTTTTCTTGAAATTCAGAGGGTGTTTTTGGAATTTATTTTTTGGAAAAAGAATTAGGCATTTATTATTGCTTCGGTTTTGCAAATCTCCCATTCTCTAAAATATGGCATTTCATTTTGCATTACCAGTTGCTGCAACAGATTTGTATTATAATGTTATTTCCAGAAAAAAATGTCTTGTACTGTTGCTGGTAATCATGTTTTATCATCTTTTCACTTCTTTTTTTCTCACTTCCCGTTTATTTCCCTACGTCTCAAAGCCAGTGATGTGAATTTGCTGGAAGCTCACCGAAGTGTTAGACGGGGGGGGGGGGGACAGAAGTTAGTTAACCTACTTCTAAACCTTTTCTCCTAGGTTCTCTCATCGTCTTTCAATCTTCTTTCAAAACAGATGACTCAATATTAGTAATATTCTCAATACTATGAAATAATATACGGCATATCTGAGCACACAAAAACGTGTAACAGTTACTGTACTTTAGATATCTTGAAGGTTTTAACGCACATACACATTATATACAAGTACAGATGCTTGAATAAAGAACATCTATGTTTGTTTGTATTACAGCCTTAAAGTTGGCTGCAATAAAATTAGACTTTGTGAGGTCGGGTTGCCACTGATGGATGTGCGCTCCCTGGGTGATGCTTCAACTTTTGAAAATGCTGTCTGAACTGTGAAAATGCCGTTTTAAGATGAGAGTTTACAGATAAATCTGATTTATCAAAAAGTATACTAAAAATTGTCTATACAGAATCTTTCTTTCCTGGAAAGTATTTATACAATATTTTTCAATTTATTCGAAAACATGGAAAGCTAGTCACGAGTAAGCAGGTGCTGTGCTGTTTCTTTGACATGGCCTCAAACTGATAGCTGAGTGTGTCACATCAAAAGATATCAGTCTTTGCAAGCATTTCTCGTTTTTGGAAATGAGAAAGCGCATGTCTGTCAACTCTAAAGTATCTGAAGCTTGGAAGGTGTGCATGTCATAGCTCAAAATGAACTTCTGTGAGCTAGGCATTAACAGATGTGTCATTGTTTAGCACGCTTGATATATCTCAAAACGAGCGTACTGAACTTGCTTGGAGCACATTATTCATTATTGTTCATTTAAGCAAGCTGATTACTTCAATACACCTCTTGCCTAATTGATTATATGTATGCTTGTCTACGGCGTCTCTCATAATCATATGGTGGTTTTGGGACGTTAAACCCCATATATCAATTATGTATGCTTCTGTACTTGCAATTTTGTATTTTTAGTGTTTACACAAGTATGATTTAATGAATTACTAAGGTGCACATTAGTGTTACAATAATATTGTTTGAATATATGTATTTATGTTGTTCAGTTACCTTAATGCTGCAAGA